TTTCCAGCATCTGGTACTAATATGCCGCATGCACAACAACCTCAGGGAACTTCTGTTTCTTCTTCTCCACAGAACAGTCCTCAGACTCAACCACCCCTTTCGCCGCAGCCATTATCGGCCTCTCCTAATATTAATGCTATTGCTCAAAAGAACCCGCAGAAATCTCAGTTGCCAGTTCATGGTCTGGGTAGGAATCCGCAGTCTGGTGGTTCTGGAGTGAACAATCAAGCTGGAAAACAACGGCAGCGACAACTCCAGCAGCAGTTGCAGCAATCTGGAAGACAGCATCCACACCAGCGTCAGTCAACACAAGGCCAACAGCAGAATAAGCAGTTGAAGGGGATGGGTAGAGGAAACATGATCCATCAGAACATCACTGTTGATCAGTCACACATGAATGGTCTCACCATGGCCCCGGGAAATCAGGCTACCGAAAAAGGAGAGGCAGTAGTTCCAGTTAAGCCTGATCAGCAGTGCAACGCAGGGACTGTCACGAGCACACATCTGCAGTCTAAACCTGTTCCTCCACGGTCTTCGAATCATTCACAGCAACTGCCAAAAGAAATTCCTGGTGTTTCATCTCCGTCCCAACAACAACAGATGCAGTTACATTCAGACAATAGCATCCAAGGTCAGAGCTCACCTGCAGCCCCATGTAATATGTTATCCACCTCTAGCCCGACTACTACACCAGCAGTTGCACCTTCCAACCATCAGCATTTGCTGGTACACCATAAGCAGCGCAATCATGTGCAGTCGATAGCTCAGCGAGCTCTTCATCATAATCAGCTAGGGAACTCTGACTTAGCAAGGAAGTCCCAAGCTGAACGTATGCCACGTGTTCCACTGTCTGTCACAAATGCCACCCAAACAGCTTGTATGAGTACGACCAAGGGTATGCCTCAAGCAAGTAATGATTTGAAAAACATAAAAGCAGTTGGTTCTACTGCTTTGCCTTCTCCAAACGCATTGGAACCTCCATCCCCTGCTGCCTCTGTGCAAAGTGCTGCTCCTAAATTAGATAACAGTTCTAATACAGATTTAGCTGGGAGTGATCCAGTAACAACACCGAACCAAGGAATAGCTCAGAAGCAATTATCTGGTGGCTTGCCTACTAGTCACGGGCTCAAGGTCATGACACAGAGACAACAGTCGGTACCTTCAGTAGAAGAAAAAAGTCCAAAGTTGGCAGAGCAGCTGAGTGTAGAAAATCAGAAACATCTTGCTTCTGATCAGCAGCCGCAAGTAGAAGAAGCACAAGAATTATCATCCCCCAAGCCTCCTGATACAAAAGTGGAATGAGAGGCATGGCAGATGAAACCTAGAACATTGAGTAGCTGTAGATGATCCTGGAAGGGTTATTCAGGCCCTTTATCGACAAACCCTGTACAGGTACCTAGACTGGTTTTGTCTCCTCCGCCATACAGAGTCGGGGTGATCACTTTGTGGCAGTAACATGATCAAGTGGGTAGTCTTTTTGATATGGCTGAGATGAGATGCATGCTGTATAACATTAACATTGGTTGGGTCCAGCCAAGTAAATTGTAAACTCTGCAGATTTGAGTTTGCAGATTTGACGACAGAGCAGATAAATGGGGAAGAAGCAGGGTGGATTAGGAGGATAAATTCATGATGGTCTTTTTGCCTCGTTTGAACACAGAGAGAAAGGTATATCAGTCTGTAAATTACCACTGCATCATCATAGAGAAAAATCCCTTTCTTCTTCTTCTTCCCATCTTTTGGTTTGGGAGAGTAGAAACAGTTCATAATGTTTTGTATAGAAGTCTGCTCTCTCCTCCACCCACTTTTTTTTTTGTTTGCTTCCTCATCTTTGTGGCATATATTTAGTAGCCTCTTTCTTTCCTTCTAATTTCTTCTCTTGTTGGGTTTAGGTTAGTTTAATCTGAATGTATTATTTGTTCTTTCTCCTTTGTTATGGTTTAAAATGGGAAAAGAAAAGATCATTTGCTTCCCATAACGTTTTGTGTACATAAAAATGTTCACGGCATTAGATTACATTTGAAATTCTACAATACAGTATTTTGCTATGTTACAAATCAGAAATGAAATCATGAAGTAGAGAAGAAGAACAACAAGAACATTTTTTCTTTAATGGTTGGTTAGTAATCTCTTGAAATGATGATGGCTAATAAGAATCAAAGGCAGTGTTGAGAAACTGAAGAAGCTGAGCTTGAGAACTCTGAATCAATTGTATCCGTTTGATTTCCATCTCCTTACGAAGCTTCACTGTCTCTCTAGCAAACTCCATCTTCTTCTTCTCCATCACCATTACTCTCTCAGCGAATGCCCTAATCTCAGCAGCCACTGCCTTGCCTCCTTTCCTCCGTCTCTCACCTCCTTGGTCTTTCCTCTTCCTCTTGGATCTCTCTCTTTGTCCCCACGACAACAACCCTCCTCCAACTCCGGCAAATCTGTTAACTGTTCCCGGTCTTCTTAGTATGTGATTGATGCTCCTCGAT